TTGTATATATATGTATGATTTGATTATTGCATTTGTTATGGAACTAATTTGCTGTAATTATAAAATCCATTTAATACAGATTTGCCTAAAATACTAAAAATATATTAAGAAACATATATTTATATATATAAGCTATATTTGGTATATATCTGAGAAAAGCTATTAAAAACCCAGTTTATGAAAGCTTCTTTTTGGCTACTTGAACAAAGTGACTAAAAACTCGTGCAAGTTATTAAGAACCCGTATCTATAGGGTATTTTTGTTTGTTTATTTTGTTTGATATGTGCTCACTGAAGAAACGAATTTTTGTTTATTAAATATTTCTCAAGAAGCAATTTAAATAAAGCATTTAACTTAGAATTATAACTGCCTGACATTTTAATTACTTAAGCCTAATGAGAATAGTTAAAAATTAATCTCTGATTTTGATTTAAAAACAAAATAGTTATAAAAAAAATTAATTTTGAAACTATTATTCATAAAAAAAAAATATGTTTTACTTGAATATTTTAATAAAAAAAAAGAATTAACAATTATTTTTGCTATTGCGCAATTAGAACTTTTTCCGTTAATTTAACAATTTGCACTAGGTAAATTAAAATAGTCATATATAATATACGCCCATCTATTTTTTACTTTTCGAAACGACACCTATTTAAATAGCATTTTGTATTTTTCGTTTTGCTATTGCATAATTGAGCTGGAGCTGATTGAGTCGAACTAACACGTAGCAATAAAGCGAATGCGAAATTTGTTCGCCTGCTCACGTGCCTAGACGCAGTTCCTCATATGCCCTAAATGGCTCGCATATTTACCTTCCGAGGCGGGGTCCTGCTTCTCGGTGACTTGGAACTCGGGCCCAATGCCGTTACTTCCCGCTGCGCTCAGAGTTTGTATCACTGGCGGCGGCTGCACTGTGGCCGACCAGGCGCCCAGTGAGATGCCGAGGAGTATCAATAGAACCGATTGCATCTTATATATATATGTAGAGGTGATTGAGTCGAAGCTGGGATTTATTTATTTATAGACCGTATATAAGTATATATTAAGTATCACAGTTATTATTACGTTCTAGCTGTCCATGTAGAGCAGTAGAGCTGAGAAAAAGTAGAACTAGCTCAATTTCACGGATCGCGGGTCTTGAGAACGGACACGAGCTCGCGAATGGGTCACAATTAGCGGATTTGCGACGACTGGCGACTCGGCATACGCTGAAGCGCCGTTATATGGCAAGCACGATCGTCGACGATCGGTGACGATCGGTGACGATCGGCGGCTGTGCACGAAGCGGGCAAATGACGAACGAACGTCGCGACGTCTAGAACCGGGAGCATTACGAGCAAGCTGCTTATTGTTTTCTTTTGTAATGTTTTGTGTGTGTGTTTTTTACGAAATGCAGTACAGATAAACACATTAAAAAGCAACAACAATTGGTCGTCTGTGGGTCTCGACCGGCAATAAAGCATCGTTTGGTGTGTTTTATTATATTTGCGATCGAAAGTTAACGGCCACGGGCCAAGAACATGTGCCAATACGTTGGTTTACGGCTTAAATGGCACGTGAATCTGGTGCCCAAGCAGCTGTCCGTCGGCTGACGGGCGGGCTCATCGCTTTATCAGATCTCGTATCTTATGCGTGCTGCTGCAGATGTACTATTTCAAGAATTGATAAAAGATTTCCTCTGACATTTGCGTATTGTTTGCATTATCCGAACTGAAGCTGAAAAGCAGAAACTCAAATAAAATTAGCTTGAATCAGACAAGGCTTTATTTGTCTTGGATTTAGCCTCGATCAATGTCACTCATAATTCCATATGGGCGCCAGTCTCTTCAATCTGAGCAACGTATGATGGGTCAGGCGACTAGTCGGACTATATTTTGACTAAAATTGGTTCTATTGTCCGATTTGCAAGCGAGCCTCTAGTGAGATAAACGAGAACGCGAGCTCATTCTAAATCAAGCGTAAATTACTCATTTGTCAGACGTCATGCGTTCTTTTGGCTTGCTTTTCTTTTATGCAGTCTTATCACTAAACATAGACTTTTTATGCTTAAGACGTCATATATATATATACACGTGCCAGTTTTTTGCTTTAAAATAAATATTTTCAACAAATTTTAGCTATTTTTCGAGTTGTTTTTTGCAAAGTAAAGTAAAGGTAAAGTAGAATTTTACGTTCTTTCCATTGAATTTAATGTAGATATGTTTAATAATTTGATTAACTGCCAACAGTTAATCTGTGTTTGTAATCAAACCTGTTTACTGTATTCTAAATTCGTTTCGATCAAATCAGATTTTTATTGTTTTAAGTTAGTTTTTCCAATTACATCACATGGAACGAGCTACTCTATATCAAATGGCAGCTATAATGATTTACTTTTCAGCATATTCCTTATTTAGTTAATATATTTAATAGCAAACAAAGTTATTATATATAAAAACATTTGTAAACAATTAAATAACTCCATATACACAGCTGCGGAAAAAACATATTTTTACTTCAATTTTTTTTATTTTTTTTTATTTTTTTTTTATTGACAATAATTAACGAAATTATAAAAAACAGAAATCAATTAAAATTTCCATTAACTAGTATAGGCCTAGCACAGCTTAGTACGATATACATACATATTTTCGCATATTTGAGAGAATTAAATTGAATTGTGGACTGGCAAATGTGGGTCAAGTCTGCCAGAGAGCACTGTAGAGTGCCCAAGCGTTCAGCGTTCTTTTCATTATCTGTGCAACTGCATTCTGATTGTGCACGTTTTTAACGGGGCAATGTAGAGGCTGTAAAGACTGCAAAGAACAGTTGGAAAACGCAAGTGCAAAGAAAAGAAAACTTCAATTCGAAATGACGTTAAGTGACGATTGCCCACGATGATTGCAGTTTGCTCTTTGCTGCTTAATTATAACACTGGATTGCTTTATGGCTCTCATTTCAGTATTTGTTGTTGTTGTTGTTGTTATAGATCTGTTACGCATGAGTTGAGCTGCTGCTGCAGCTAACTGTTAAAATGCCAGTTGTATTTGGCATTGTCATTGGCTGACGACCCCCGCACAGCGACCGACCGCAAATCAAATAGTAAATTCCGCCCACCTGGCCACGCCTCCATTATCAGCCAGCTCAGTGCAAAATTGTTTTGCGCTATTTACTGTCAGGTTTATTAAAAATTATTCATGTCACGTAAAAGTTTTTTTGTTTTGTTTTTTTTTTTTTTTTTTTTTTTTACGTACTACAAGTATAGTAATTCCATGAAAGGTGTAACAATTTTCACTAGCATTACAAACGAATTCCGTATAAAATTTGTGCTAACAAAATAATAAGATATGTATGTATGCGTATAAGTATAAATAATATGTAAAGAAGATGTAATTGGGCAAGTGACTAGCAAATGAAACTGAAAATCAATTAAACTAAATATGTGTATGTATCATTGCAGTGACTCAGTAGTTCTAGCTCTGATCCCTATGCTGACTATGAGAATCTCTTCGAGGTGTAGCCGCTGCGCACGTTGCTTGTGGTCGCTGATCTAACGGTCGTTCGGCTCGTTTTTGTTAGCGTGGCATCACTGTTGCTATTCTTGGTGGTTTCTGTGTTGTTGTTGTTGTTGTTGTTGGTGCTGCTGTTGCTGGTGGTGGTGGTGCTGTTGATGGTGGTGATGCTGCTGCTGCTGGCGCTCATTGACAGCGGACGACGCGGCGGCATCCGCTCATTGACAGCGTCCAGGCCCTTCGCCTCGGCAAAGGAATGAATCTGAGAGGCTGCGGTCAGTCCTTGCAGCGCTGTCGAATGGAATATGAACAAGTTTTCATTAGACCAGCTTTATAGCAATTTGAAAAGATACTGTAGTTTATGTCTGTGTGTAAATGTATAAGTGTATTACATCTATCTGACAGCAACATAGATATATACAATATTAATAATAGCTCACATCACACAGCCATAAATTGTTCATTGTTTTATCATGTTTATAGCTTACATTATCTGAGATAGAAGCCTTTCAAGTTTCCATACTTCTATGTTCTATGTTCTATGTTCTATGTTCTATGTTCCATGTTCCATGTTCCATGTTCCATGTTCCATGTTCTATATTCTATGTTCTATGTTCTATGTTCTATGTTCTATGTTCTATGTTCTATGTTCTATGTTCTATGTTCTATGTTCTATGTTCTATGTTCTATGTTCTATGTTTTGCGTTTCATTGATTCGTTTTGGTTCCTTACCCTCTTTGAGTGAATCACGCCCACCAGACAGCGCGCCCATTGGCAATGCGCCCGTGGGCGTCAGGCCCTTTAGTTTCAGCACGCTCTCCGACTCTTCTCTGCAAGGTGTACGACAGTTAATATGCTTAAAGGCCAGGTTAAATGAGAATCTCTGCTTACCTCAGCACCGAAAAGACACGCGACATTTTGCCAATGGCGCGTATTTTGTTGCGAATTATCTCCTTGCGCAGCGCCGACATAGAAGCTGCGAATACGTAGAGTTCAATTAGTTGGGATAGTTTAAACGAAAAGCCATCCAATCATCTATTTATATATATACAGCTATATACATTTCAACAGCATATCTAGGCAAGTCTGGTGCGGACGCGCACTCGACAATATTTGAGCAAAGCTTTGTGCCAAAGCTGATCAAAGCTGTGCAAAGCTCTCTCGCAACACGGAGCTTACCTGGCTTACTGGGCGTATTATTGTTATTGTTATTATTCACTGTCGCCGGCACGAGCACAATTTTCTTGCGTAGCTCTACGTACGGCCGACCCAAAATAACCCACATCCCAACAGCATCCCACAAATAGGGGGCGTGTTTATTCAGTGGTTGGTTGGTTGGTTATGTGTTGTTGTTGTTGTAGATGTTGTTGTCGTTGTTGATGTTGTTGTTGGTTTTATTATTAAATTTTTTTTTTTTTTTTTTTTTTTTTTTGAAAATAATTTGTGGTAATATTAGATTAGTAATTGTTTGTGTGAATTCTTTGTTTTGAAATACTTTTGCATAAGGTATTGTAGCAGGCTACTAGCCTATGTATACTGTAGCTGGTTACTAGCCTATGTTATATTAGATTTAAGTTAACAGCATTATGGTTAACCATCGATAGATACACATCTATCGATAGTTAACCATATCGGTGGCTGAGGAGGCTGTCGATATGCAACATGCCATTTTGAGTAATAGAAAGAGGAGGATCGATACATTTTAAGCTTGAATGTGAACAATAGCAGACGTGTGTATATCAAGAAATTATGAAATAAAGAAATTAAACAAAAGGCCTACTACAATCTCAGAAGTGGGATAAAGTACACTAATTTTTCAAATTAAATAAAATGAATTTAAGCATAAATGAAATTAAGCATAGACGAAGTATCTGTGGTGCAGTTAAAGAAGTGGCTAGCTGCATTGGGCTTGTCGACTCAAGGGTGCAAGACTGAACTTGTCGCTCGCCTCAATGGCGTGCCCGCAAATTTGCGCGGCAGCGCCCCCGAAGTGGAACAGGGAGAGGAGGAGTCAGATCAAACTGGAGTATCGCAGACAGTGCAAATGCAACAGGAGGAAATAGACAGGAATGAGAATATTTTGCGAGAGCTAAGTGAGCAGATCGACGCAGCAAAGAAGCAGCTAAAAAATTTTCACACACGACAATTGGACAGAGACGGCAATAGCAAGCGTGCCGAAATTAGCGCAAATGGCGTCGATGCAGAAGTTGAATTCGAAGAACGCGCGACTGACGCGCGCCAAAAGGGCGCCAGTGAAAATTGTGTAATAAATACAACGCACAATGATGAAGTGATGTCAATGATGTTTAAATTAGCTAAAGAAATTATGGTGGAATTCACTGGGGAGGAGTCTATTAGCAACTGGATAGCGCAATTGAATAATGTATCTCAATTATATCAACTAACGGACATGCAAAAAAAGTTGCTATGCATGGCCAAATTAAAAGGGAAAGCCATGCAATGGATACATGATGATTCATCGAGGATTGTGCAACCGTTGGGCACATTATTGGATGGATTGGCAGCAGCATTCGGAAGCAAGATATCCAAGGCCGAAATGCGTCGCAAGTTTGGGCAAGGGAAATTCGTTTAGATGTAGACGAGCTACTGGATGGTCTCATTGAAGGAATCCCAAATGCAGTTTTACGCGCGCAGGCCAGGATACAGTGCTTTGAAGACCCCAGCAAATTGGTAAGGGCTTTTGCAGAGGTGCGGTTGCCACTGCATCGATCTACTGGAGGAAAAGGGACAACAGCAGTGGGACCAGGGCTCGATAATGCAATGAAGGAGACGCGTTGCTTCAATTGCAACTATAAGGGGCATTGGGCAAGAGATTGTCAGAAGCCCAAGAGGGAGAAGGGTACGTGCTACCACTGCGGCGCTAAGGATCATATGGTGGCACAATGCACGAAGAGGAAGGATGATATTGGAAACAATTTCGTAAGGTTAATCAGTATACATTTTAAGTCCAAAGATAATGCCTCCATTATTGCAGAATGCCTCATAGATTCAGGAAGTCCTATTTCGTTTATTAAAAAATCGTGTGTCCCAGTTGGAATAAAACTTAAAGCACACGCAGAAAATTACTTTGGGCTAAATGAAAGCCAGTTAAATGTGATTGGAAAAACATTTGTTCATATTTTCAAGAAGTTTGAGAAAATAAATTTTTGGTTAATAGTTGTCCCTGATGAATCTATGAGGTCTGAAGTAATTTTAGGGAGAGATTTCATGGAAGCTTGCAATTTATATGTTGACCGAATCGCCTTGAGAATGATTTCAGTGGAAAGAGCAGCTGGCACGTTAGATAAATCGTTAGAAAATACATTGTTAGGAAACACATCGTTAGATAAATCGTTAGAAAATACATTGTTAGGAAACACATCGTTAGATAAATCGTTAGAAAATACATTGTTAGGAAACACATCGTTAGATAAATCGTTAGAAAATACATTGTTAGGAAACACATCGTTAGATAAATCGTTAGAAAATACATTGTTAGGAAACACATCGTTAGATAAATCGTTAGAAAATACATTCTTAGGAAACACATCATTAGATAAATCGTTAGAAAATACATTCTTAGGAACCACATCATTAGATAAATCGTTAGAAAATACATTAGTAAATAAAGTGTTAGAAAATGAAGAATTAGGAAAGAAGTTAGTAAATAAAGTGTTAGAAAATGAAGAATTAGGAAAGAAGTTAGTAAGTAAAGTGTTAGAAAATGAAGAATTAGGAAAGAAGTTAGTAAGTAAAGTGTTAGAAAATGAAGAATTAGGAGAGAAGTTAGTAAGTAAATTGTTAGAAAATAAAGAATTAGGAAGGAAGTTAGTAAATAAAGTGTTAGGAAACAAAGACTTAGAAGAGAAATTGTTAGACAAATGGTCAAATAATAAAGAATTAGAAGAAAAATTATTAGACAAAGAAGAGATCGATAGGTCAAAAGAGTGTTTAGAAAAGTCAATGGAAATAAATAGCAAAAGCGTTTTTGACGATAATTTTGAAAACAGCATGCTTCAAATTAATGTGGTAGACGGAGACAATGAAAAAGAGATATATATTATCGGTGAAAATATTAGTTATGATGTGCGGAAAAAACTAATTAGATTGCTGAAAGTGGAATATGTAGATGCTGAAAGGCCAGTGAAACCTAAAAAGAAATGCGAAATGAATATACGAATTGAGAAAGCAAAACCGTTTAGCTGTTCACCAAGAAGGTTATCATACACTGAAAAGGAAAAATTACAGATAATGTTAGACGAATACCTTAGAAATGGCATCATACAACCTAGTTGCTCAGAGTATGCTTCACCAATAGTATTAGTAAAGAAAAAAACAGGAGATTTAAGAATGTGCGTTGATTTTAGAAAACTCAACAAGATCATGATCAAAGACAATTATCCTTTGCCGTTGATTGATGATTTGTTAGACAGACTAGTGGGGAAGTCTATTTTCACGAAGCTTGACCTGAAGAATGGATATTTTCATGTTTTTGTAGAGAAAGAGTCAGTAAAATACACATCGTTTGTTACGCCGTTAGGACAGTTTGAGTTCTTGAGAATGCCTATGGGATTAAAAACAGCTCCGCAAATTTTTCAGAGGTTCGTTAATGATATATTTGCAGATTTAATAAAGGAAAGCAAGGTAATTGTATATATGGATGATATAATGATTGCCAGCAAAGATGTGTCCGAGCATCTTAAGATACTAGAAGAGGTTTTAAAACGATTAGTAGAGAACAAATTAGAGTTGAGGCTGGATAAATGTGAATTTTTGCAGAACAAGGTTAAATATTTAGGATTTGTAATATCAGAAGATGGCATTAGAGCAGATGATAAGGGATTAGAAGCGGTAAAGAATTTCCCAATACCTAATAAAGTTCAGGCGGTGCAAAGTTTTCTCGGGTTGTGCTCATATTTTAGAAGATTTATAAAAGACTTTTCAACTCTGGCAAAACCGTTGTATGACTTATTGCGGAAAGATAGAAAATTTCAATTTGAAGAAAAGGAACTAAATTGTTTTTTATGCTTGAAGGAGAAATTGTTAGAGGCACCAGTATTAGCGTTGTATAATCATAAAGATGACGTAGAATTGCATTGTGATGCCAGTGCAATGGGATTTGGAGCAGTGCTTTTTACAAAAGAAAGAAGACGGAAAGCTGCATCCTGTATTTTATTTTTCAAAGCGAACGACAGAAACGGAAGCAAAATATCATAGTTTTGAACTGGAAACTTTAGCCATTATTAATGCACTTAGGAGATTTAGAATATATTTGCAAGGCAGAAAATTTAAAATAGTAACGGATTGTAATTCTTTAACTTTAACTTTGAATAAAATAGATCTTAACCCTAGAATTGCAAGATGGGCATTGGAAATGCAAGAATTTGATTATGAATTAGTGCACAGGGCTGGAAGTCAAATGCAGCATGTAGATGCATTAAGTAGATATAATAATACCATTATGGTAACAGAAGCAAATAGTTTTGAGACTAATTTAATTATTTGCCAGACGAAAGATGCAAAGTTACAAGAAATTAGAAAATTGTTAGAGAAACAAGAGCATAAATTATTTGAAATGAGAAATGGTGTTATATTTAGGAAGACAAATGATGATAGACTACTATTTTATGTACCAGAAAAGATGGAAGAACATGTATTGTACAAATATCACAATGAATTAGGGCACGTTGGAAGGGACAAGATGCTTAATGCAATAAGTAAATCATATTGGTTTCCCAATATGAAAAAGAAAAATTTTAGAACATATTGAAAATTGTTTGCAATGCATAGCATTCTCGCCTAGAACGGGCAAAGCAGAAGGGTGGCTGCATAGCATTCCAAAGGGGAATAAACCGTTCCAAATAATTCATATTGACCATTATGGACCAGTGGATAACGGCAGATCAAAGAAATACATTTTTGCAGTAGTAGATGGGTTTACAAAGTTTGTCAGATTATTCACTACTAAAACAACAAGCACTAGGGAAGTTGTAAAGGCATTGAGAGAATATTTTAGAACATACAGTAAGCCAGAATGTATTATATCAGATAGAGGAAGTTGTTTTACGTCAACGGAGTTTGACCAATTTTTAGAAGAAGCAAAGGTAAAGCATATTAGGATTGCAACAGGATCGCCACAAGCGAATGGTCAGGTGGAGCGAATAAACAGAAGTTTAGGTCCGATGATAGCTAAACTAATAGAAGGTGATAATGGACAGCATTGGGATTCAATAATTGAGAGGGTGGAATATGTTTTGAATAACACTCAACATTGTAGCACCAAGCAATTGCCAAGCGTAATGTTATTCGGAATAGCGCAAAAAGGGGAAATTAGTGATAGTTTAGGAGAGCAATTAGAGAAAATAATAGGATTAGATATATGCAGTTCACAGAATTTAGAAGATATTAGAGAACAAGCACAACATTATCAATCTGCAGCACAAACAAGGAATGAAGAGAACTTTAATAATGCTAGGAAAGCTGCAAAAGTATACAAGCCAGGAGATTATGTAATGGTTAAGAATTTTGACAACACGGTGGGAATATCAAGGAAATTAATACCCAAATCCAAAGGACCATATGTCATAGATAAAGTACTGAAGAACGATAGGTATTTGATAAAAGACGTTGACGGTTTCCAATTATCCAGGAATCCTTATCAAGGTGTTTGGAGTGCAAGCAATATAAGACATTGGATAAAAGCATAAGAGAGATAATAACTTATATTTTAGATATTAATTTCATAACTAGTGTGTAACATTTAATTAATAATTTAATTTTTATAACATGTAAATAGAATATCTGTAAGATTTTTTTTGTGTATCAAACATGTAAACACAATATTATTTTTAGGAAGTTAAGTATCAAATATTATATAAAATTAACAGAGATAGAGGGCTATCTCAGAGTCAGGATGGCCGAATTGTAGCAGGCTACTAGCCTATGTATACTGTAGCTGGTTACTAGCCTATGTTATATTAGATTTAAGTTAACAGCATTATGGTTAACCATCGATAGATACACATCTATCGATAGTTAACCATATCGGTGGCTGAGGAGGCTGTCGATATGCAACATGCCATTTTGAGTAATAGAAAGAGGAGGATCGATACATTTTAAGCTTGAATGTGAACAATAGCAGACGTGTGTATATCAAGAAATTATGAAATAAAGAAATTAAACAAAAGGCCTACTACAGTATTTTCCTTAATATGTAAACTTGATTACATTAAACATTTGCTTAGCAAGTGTATCTTACAGCTAATACTTTAAGTCTTAGCTCTTAGGCTTCCAGTTAAATTACAGCTATACAGAATATATATTGTACTTCAATTTAAAATTTATAGAATTAGCTTATATGCATCTGAAGCCCTTGATAACGCCCTTCATATGATCTTGCGTAGATCTGAAGCTCATCAAATATAATAGCATAATAAATATGATCTAAGTAAACTGTTTAAAACGTTCTATAGCCAATCTCTTCTATTCCCATACAAATTTAATTTTTTATATTCCAATACAGCCTTGTCCTTCCAAATTGGACTATTTCAATATATACATGATATAGAAAATCTCTTTCAATAATAGCATACCACTGCAAGGTATTTCGATATCGGCATGCCGATAATAATTGTTGTCCTTGTTGTATTGTGTTCAGCTACTGTGGTGCATACGACATTAAACATACATATATATACACACACACACACATACAGACACTTACACAGGCACATCAATCTACATGGAGTGCATGGTATTAGCTGATATACATACCCTCCTCCAGCTCGTCATCGGGGCCTGCGACAAGCTCGTCGTCGGAGCAAATGTTGAGAACATTAACCAGCATCTCCGTGACCTAGGATAGAATGTGGCTTGGATTGGAATGAGTGTTGCTTGACTTGGCCCAGACAAGGGATGGGCGGGCGAGAGGGGAGACTCACCTTTTCGCCAACAAAGGGCAGGGACCAGGTGAAGACATCCATGAAGTTGGGCAGCCAGTAGGGATGCGGCGAGCAGTTGAATTGTCTTATGTTCATCACGTTGTTCTCGTACTTGAGCACAGCTGCCTTTTGTCAAATGTTGACGATGCGTTTTGACAAAAATTGTTGCGAAAATATGAAAAACAGAGAGAGCCAAACAATATTTACGGGGGAGGGGGCAAGACAAATAAAAGAAAA